AACTCAATGGGGCCAGTGGCCTCTGCCGGCAACAGCCTGAGGTTATCTGGCCAACCACAAAGCCCACCACAAATGCCACAGCCAGAAAAATATCCGGAAACATGGCACTTCAACAAGCCGTTGGCAGGACCACACTTGAGCCAAAGTGGTACCAACTCAAGTGTTGGCCCTGCAACCGATGTGTTACTTGCATTTCCCTGCACCTTTTGCAATGGTTTCAACAAGAAGAGTTGAAGTGTGCAGGTGCTGCAAGGCTGCAAAGATTATCGTGCCGTGGCACTGACTTTATGAATGATGAAGAAAGAATTGCTCGTGACACATACAGCAAGAACGAACGCCTTGTTGTATAAATATTATCAAACGAGCTTGCTCGATCATCTCTGCGTTCATGGTTGATGAAGGGGCTCCACGGACTACTGGAGCCAAGTTTGCCCTGATTGGGTCTGTATGCTTTTTGTCCGCTTTGCAAGAGGCATCATGGATCAATCTGCGCAAATGAACTAACACCTCTTTGGAACAGGACCCATGTAGTCCCAGCATCTCTCAACGCTTGGATTCGTACTGGGCAGAGCTGAAGCAGCGACATGTAGCCGTGTGAGGACTGATGTCATGTGAAACCACACGCGTCTCTCTCTCTCTCTCATATATATATATGTATATATAATATATTATATATATTATATCATATATGTATTATGCATATACTATATTGTACTATATATGTATCATGTATTACTATATATTATATATCATAGTGTATATCATATAGCCTATAGCATATATTACATACTATAATTATTGCGTATAAAAATGTTTTGTGTATTATATGCACTGTACAGTATATTATATATACAGTAACTTTTTTCCAGCACACTGCTGTGAACTGCTTTCTCCAAGTTGAATCATGGTGTTACCCTTCCTTAGCTGTCATGAACTTGCCTGTGAAATGTGCACCATCTGCAGGTGAAGGTGCCCATACCAATGGAACAGTAAAGAGATAACCACCTACTGTCCATGCCCACATCACGCGCTCATCCTGGTTTGCTGGGCTAAAATTGGATCCCGTCTTGAGGTTGAACAGTTTCTTCTGTGATCGATCCAATTGTTTGAACCGTTGCGTATGTTGCAGCCTCCAGCGCCTTCATATTGACGACACATTGGCAACACACTGTTAAGGGAGCCAGTGCTCGCAAGTCTTCCACTCCATGTTCAAAGCCTGCTCTCAAACTTAGGTACATCTCGGCCAAATCCAGTTCTCTGAAGAACTTTTGTGGACCATAGAAGCCTTTGGCAAGAAAGTGGCTTTGCAATCGAAGTTATCGAACCGACCTGTTAGTTCACAAGCCTGTCCATTGATTTAAATTAGCTGATCCGACAATCTGGTGTACTAAGCATGCTGTTTAGGTCCTAGTATAGTGCTTTTTGCTGTTGTCAAGTTCCAACGAACGTCTGGTGTCACACACTTGAAGTGAGAACCAGAGATGATTTTCCACAGCAGAGTACCCGCAAACACGCATACATCAAGCGTCATTTCCTGAGTTCAGTCCTGTGAGAGAAGATGAGTGAATCTAGACGCCTCCACAGTCTGTCGAGAACAAGTCAGCCTGTACCTGGCAGTGAAGCATAGATGTCGGGGAGCAGCCTCCAGTTCCTCAACCTCTGTCGGAAACAAGAGCCTTGTCAACTTCGCGTGAGAGGCACAAATCAGTCGACTCCGAAGCTTCCATCTTTGAGGCAAGCAAGGGTAAAGGGGTGAATGCAAAGTGTTGCTGGGACGGGATGGGAGGATCATCGATGGAGGACTATCTATTGTCATGCTCTGGGTTGTATACATACCAGGGCCACTCTGAGGCTTTTCCGGCGATGTGAGGTGCAGGTTTACCCTGCCTAAAAGAACATCCCAAGATAAGTTCAAAGAAGTTCAAAGTATGAGAACGGCAACTGTCAATGAAACGACTCCCTTCGATCGCCTTCCGGCTGACCCCAGTATATGTCGGAAGGTAATATGTTGGCACAAAGACATGAAAGACCTGAACATGCGGTGTTGGCGCACGCAGAGCTCCCTGACATCTGGCGTGCACCTCACTTAGCTGGTCGGTTCATTCAGTGTCTTCGAGTCATCATCTCACTGTCCTCATATAGAATGCTCCAAGATAGTTTGGAGGGAAATCCTCGTCTCTGATATGTTGCAAAGTCTCAACTTGGTACCCGGTCGTCTTAGCCAAGGCCTCAGCCTGAGTCAATCTCCTTTGACAGATTGTGCTTTATAAGCTCTGTGGTTTCACTCAACTGGCTGCGTATCAGAAGTTCGGGAGACCCCCCAACCACTGGATGCTACTCTTCTTGTGTTTTTCCCCATCTTTGGGGATCCCCATAATTGAAATCCACACCTATATAACCAGTGTTTGCAGAAGGGTTATTGATTGTAGCAAGGGGTGCTTAGGGCCTCCTTGTCCTTCTGGCTGCATTCTTATTGTAACAAACATCGGGAATGGGCAAAATCTCTTCTAAGCTTCGCACTACCAGATGCCCATGACGCAAAAGCTGGGCAACGAAGCTCAAGCCGATGCCGCAGTCAACAGGGTCCCCCAGTTCAGAAGCAGGAAGCCATCAAAACTTTACACCAAACGCAATGTTTGGTGAAAATCTTATGTTGAGGGGAGGGGCTAGCCGCTAGCTGTTGGCCCACGAAAATTTGTAGTTTAGTGTCTATACAGAAGATATCCTCCATCAACTTCACCTCTTTGTGGTGGGGTCAACGGCCACATTGGTTCGGATTGGGCAACAGAATTCCAGAGTCGGTCTCAAAGGGCATCCACCAGATTTGGTCAGTCTTAATGCCTTCCCAAAATGTGTGCGTTCAATTCATGAACATTCTCACTGCAAACTCAACTGGAACTCGCCGCATGAAGCTGCTGGCATATCCAACATATCGAAGCAACAAACTGGCCGGGCACTATCACCTGCAATGAAGAGTCCTTGCTCTCGAAACAACTCACCATCCCATCCCATCACCTCGAAAGCAAAACAGCCCGAACTTGGAATCCATGTCACAACGCCCACCCAACAGTTAAACAAAAACTCTGAAATCACTGCATCTGTTGATAGTGGTATCATACCAACCAGCAGTTCAGCCAAGTTCAAAGTCGCATCTTTTGATCGAGCATGGTGTTGATCTCAGTTCGGAAGCTTCCGAGCGTTCCGTCGAACTCAATCAGACTCAGCTTGGTCCGTCGATCGTCCAAGCCAGAAACGGGTGACTCTGGAGATCAGTGACATGAGATCTGTGGATCTTCACGGATCCTTTTTCACTGGAAAATGGTCACGGTGACCCGTGGTATTTGGGGGAACATGAGACTTCATTGCATGAAATTCAATTCTGAGAAAACTTGGCGAACTGACAAGAGGTTGACTCGATTCCATGCGCCAGGACCTCCCAACTAGTTGCACTGGGTGGGTGTCGCCTTTGGCATAGCCCACAAGGGTGAGACACGTGGCTCGATTGTGCGAGCCGAGCAAAGAATTCACCACCCATAATTCCGGAATCTGCAGTAGGACATGCGGCCATTTCATGTGGCACATCTCTTGCAGGGCCTGCTAAGTGATGTTTGTCTTCTTTGGTTGGCATACCTTGAAGATACATATATCGAGTACACCCCCTAGATTTGGTGTCATGCTCATCATCATGGGCGGCCCCATTCTCGGTCTGAGGGGTCCCTCAAAAAAGTCTTGGCGATGCTCTTTGCCAAATTCCTAGCCAATGTCGCAAGGTTGCGTCAGCAAGATATGAGTCAAAACTGATGGTCAAACTAGCAAAAGGTAACTGATACCAAATCAAGATACAAGACACCCCTGATTTGGGGACCTTTGCTGACCGATCTGGCGCAAAGCTTTGTGGAAGAAACCTTTCAACATCACCCGGGATTGATGATTGGCATCGCCTACTCTTTTTCAGCTGAAAAACACCCCTTGCAAATCCATTGCTTACAACTTCACCAACGCAGCCTTGCACGATCCAAAGGTTCGAACAGCCGAACAACTGACCCGTGTGTCAGGTGCGCACGGAGCTTTCAAGACATCTACGTGTTTCGTTTGCAGCACGTGTCGGGCACGGTCAGTGTCTTCCATTGGGGTGTGTGTGTGGTGTGTCCTTGATACCCTTGGATTCACAGGGGACCTTTTGGTCTTAAAAGCCGGGGGCCATCACTTTCAGCATTGATGGATGGCCAGCGAAGAGGCCGATGGTGAGAGTTGTAAACGCACCTTCACTGTTAAGTCTCATGTCAAGTCTGTCAGACCTGGAGATGTGACGTTTTCGTTGGATTGAACGCCGGCACTCGACGTGAGCCGTGAGCGTTCTTGTCCAAGTGCGTGCGAATCTCAAGTGTTTCTTTGATGCCATGTTGTGCCTTGAAGTAGGCAGTCAAAGGTGGATTTTTCAGTATACGCTTGCCTTATTTTCCTTGTACTCAAGATGACTGTACTGATCAACGACAGGCTGAACCTGGGGAAGCTGAGCCAACCAAATAGCGATGTCCTCCAACCTCGTCGAGATGGCCTCCACTCTACTAGCGATGGCCTCCAACCTACTCTGCCGGTTTTACTCATGCCATTTTTTCACCTAGGTTGCCGTGTTGCATGAGGCATTCATTTCCGTACGCATTTCCCGAGTGTGTGATTGAAGCAAAGAATAGCAAAAAGGAATCTCGAAGTTATTTTTTGGTGCAAACTCCTCAATTGCGTCAATGATAAATCTGTCCAAATCAGTGTTTTCAAATGCTCCAAACGATTGGCCCCAGCTGGTCCAGACGCTTGAAGATGTGGGGACATGCCCAAGCATCTGGGTTCCAGCTGTGACAGTGCTGCAGTTGAAGAGCCAGGATCAGTCACGAAGAAAAAGCTTCACGAAATGCTTGGGTCAGAAGGTGCTCACAGAGTACCCACATGACTGAGGGACCGGAAGGTGTTAACATATATGTTCACATATCTTCTCCCAAGCTGTGGAATGGTCCAACTGTGAGGAACCGCCCAAGCCACCACGCGGGCGGTGGACACAGGACATGCAACTGATCCAATCCGGCCAACTTCGATCGTCTTCACAGCTCATTTCGTGGGCTCGCTTCCATGAGCCGATATGAGATGAGCTCTGTTGGAAAAACGCGGTGCACGAACATGCCCAAAGAATGGTGACATCGCGGGTGATCTCATCTTAAACAGGCTTGATCAGGCCTGAGGTGTTGGTGTAGGTCATAGCTCTGAAGTTCATTCACACAGATTTCCAAGTATCTCTCACCAGATGTCATTCATTGGCCAGGTCATAAGAGTCTTAAGCCTCATGTCGCCAGTGGCTGCAATGCATCGTAATGCAAGCCACCTTGGTAAAGTACCTTGGTACGCCAAAGACTTGCTTCTTCACATGACATTGCGGAATAGCTGCAAACTAGAGACGAATTTCGCAATGTACAGTATAATTTTGGGTTCTTGACATTCGCTGAGCCTGGGACATGGATGGTCCTTTCCTTGGCATGAATCCATCATTGAGGAATAATGGGAAAACCAAAAACAGTGGCTACTCAGCGCTCGACTGCATGTGGATTATCAAAGCATGAAATGCGCTTGAACTCCGAGGAATACCTGCAGCAAACCACGGCGAAGCAAAGGAATTGGCTGCAAACCATACCTTTCCTACAGCAGCTCACCTGCCCATGCTCTCGTAAACGTGAATGTTCACGCTCTTGAGGGTTGAGCAGCATGCCTGGCGCAAGTCTTTCCGGAATGAAAGGATCCAAGAAATTGTGAGGACATGACAATGAGTTTATTTAACGATGTCATGTTGTGTGTGAAATGCGAAAGAAACCACAAGCGATGTGACTTTTGGCCGTTGTTGCCCTAAGATCGACTATCGTCTTTCCGTCCCTTGGCAACCCCAAATGATAATGCCAGCAACACCATTTCGATCCCGCCACCCCAGCCAGAAACAGCTTGTCGCCGTGCGTACCTGGTTCATGATCTTTGACATGTTCTTCGGGAATGAGAGATGTCACCATACTCTTCAACAATATTGGTTTGATTCCAAACTTGGAGACTCAACTAAACTCCCATGCACTTAGGGTTCCCCAATTAGGGACAAGCTGCACTGAGGTCATATCTTCATTGCAACCAACAAAAGACGCGCACTCGTTCACTGACGAATTAGAGTCCCATCTGACCCATTCCTGCGTCTGATGTTTTTCCATCGAAGCGCCAGGCATCGAACGAAAGACAAGAAAGACAAAAAGAACGTCGACATAAAACAAAAACACAAGCACCACACACACAGACATCAGGACAACGCACGGAAACTTACAGCCTGCATGTCATACTGCTAGCAGCCAGCTTTTGGACAGGAACCAAAATAGCAAACAATTTACAAAGTTAAAGCTGGTTCGACAACATTTAAGTCTAGCAAACACAGACATTCAGCCCATGTGCTAGGGGCCTCCGCCATGCGGATCTTCATGAAGCGCACAGCATCGTGAAAGACTGGAGATATCCAACCGAAGGAGGTCCAAGAATCCCAACTTCGGACCATGAATGATCAACATGACCGCTTTGTGGGACGAAAAAACGGCATGACCGGATGGAAAAAAGAAACGAAGTAACGGGAGTTCAAAAAGACAAAAACCGTGCAGTTTTGTTTCGCAGGCATGAACCCACACACCCTCTTACGAAAAGTCCGAATGGGAAAATGGCAGTCAAAGGAAAAGCGGGCCTGTAGACATATATAATATAGAGAGAGAGAGAGAAGTAACTCGAGCTTCACTGTTCAGCAAACTGTCATAAAAAGCATAGGGAAAGAGGATGAAAGAGGGGTGAGAACTCCTTGATCTCGCAGCAATCTGGCAGCAAGTGAGATATAAAATGTATACACACAGTACATCAATTAATGGTTCAGGCCAACAGCTGAGCAAAGGACTCTCACACTGCGAACTGATAGTGAAAGAAAAAGATAGCCGCAGTTGCGCATTGCAACAACTTTGGAAAGCATTTTCCAAGTTTCACTAAGGAGCTGAACCGAATCGAATTCTGCACTTCACCTTGACCTGTTCAAGCAACACAACCCGCAACCACTGCGGGCAGCAACACAACTCCGTAACACAAAGCGACGCGAAGCACCGCGAAGACGGGTAAACCTGGACCTGAAACAGCAAAAGCGACGCTCAAAACTGTTCAAGTCAGATCAGTCAGTTCTACGTGCAGAAGCGATATCTAGTCAAACGGCAGACCTGTGGGCCTCTTCTGTTGAACTGCTACATGGACCCGCACTTTAGTTCACAGGATGGGACATGATGAACACACCCACGCTCAAGTGCACAAAAAGTGCCCAAGAGCAAGTCTGGAAAACAAAGGAGGCACATGACCTTACTTAACTTTTTAGGGCCCGAAAAGCCTACAAATACAAGAAAAAGGACTCCCAGACTGGGCTCCTCGAGTGTATCCCCTGCGATCTCCAACTTCGGGTTCTCTTTCAGGAAACCGGCCAATTCACGACCTCCGCCGATGTCCGTGAACATTTTCTTTTTGGATGGGTAGGCCGTAGAAGGAGGTAGTAGCTAGGTAGCTAGTAGAAGAGGTAGCTAGTAGATTAAGTAGCTACTACGAACGCAGGATAGCTCACGCTTCAAGGAAGGCCCCCCCCCGCCACCCTACAGGCGGTGGGGGAGAACTTGCTTGAAGAAGCGCTCGCACTATTCCTTTGGTTCCTAGACTTTTTGGGAAACCTATATATGTTTTCCCAACTGCATGGGAATGCTAGAGTCAAAAACTAAGGCACTTCGCATGGCCAACAAAAAAGGTGCTTCGGTTCGTGGGCTGCGCTGGGCGTCGCACGGAGGGTGGATGCGTTGATGTTACGCAGTCCTTAGTGGAGCGATGTTGCTCTTTTTGGCATATGGTGAGTGAAGATGATCCTGAGTTGGGTTGCAAAGTAACAGGAGTGAACTTCCGTGATGGATGTCAACCAACAAGGAAATGCTTCCCTCTCCCAACTTACAGATGGATGCCAATGGGTCATGTAGTCCGACCGCGGCCCCGTACCATTCCTAGGGGCCCAGGCCATAGCTGATGGAATGGTACAGGCAACTGCCATCGCCCGGTTGCGGGATGACCCTGGCATTCCTCACATCACCGAGATCAAATGGGACACGAAACATGGGGTGAGTAAAAAAACTGAATCCAGAACTTCTACTAGGAGACAGCATGAAATAGCTACAGGTGTAACGGTGTAAACATGTATCATTTATTTACATGTCATAGTAAAATATGATCTTATGTTTACTAGGTTGGAGGCCAGCGCTAGTAATTAGGTTGGAGGCCACTGCTATTTGTTTGTGTTTTACTCTCTTCGGTATGAGGTTCTTGGAATAGGACCCCGGAGTCCTTATTCTAAGGCACATACACAATTGCAAGGCATCCTAAACCCTAAACGCGGATTGAGGAGTCGGCCGCAGCACGTAATTGCCGCCACTTCCGCCCATTTGATGCGGATTGTTCTTGCAGCCATAATTCACCTGCACCGTGTGGTGAAAAGAGCGCGGGAGGATCGGTAAGGCCAGGAGGGCCCTAGTAGCATCCTTGCTCCTAGTAGTAAGGCCAGGAGCCCCTAGT